ACTTTCAAACGGTGACACAGACTTAAAGTGATAGTTCACCCAAAAATGAAATTCTGTCATTAATTTCCCTGATGTTGTTTCAAATCCGTAAGACCTTCGTTCATCTTCAGAACACAAATTAAGATATTTTTGATGAAATCCGAGAGCTTTCTGACCCTGCACAGACATCAACACAACTGACACGTTCAAGGCCCAGACGGTAGTCTGGAAGGTAGTAAGGACATCGTTAAAATAATCAATGTGACATCAGTTCAACCGTAATTTTATGAAGCTCTTTGTGCACAAAGAAATTAAAAAAAATTATATTCAACAATTCTTCTCTTCAGTGTCAGTCAACACACATTCACAAGAGTACCACGATGTAGCTTCATAACAGAATACAAAGAGAAAGCAAATCAGAGCAAATCTAATGAACTCGTGCTTCTTGTTACTTATAAAGCAAATGTCAAAATACCTTCAGGCAGGTATGAAGTCACGGACAGGTGTGCTAAAAACCTAATAAACATACAATCTATTTAAAGACACAGACCACTAAAAAAACTCTTCAGTCAACAGTAAGTACGCTGTGGTTGTTCTGTGGTTTCCTGACATCCAGATGTTTCCCAAATAGACCTTCCATGGAAGCTCAGGTGTAGTGAGTGAAGCCTCTATGAGTCAGTTCCCATTACCTTGTTAAAAGGTGGACAGAGAGGGCTGATGGCCCCCCGGATGACTCACAATGACTCACAGAGCTTTGGATGACAGATTCATACTGTAAAAATCACTGCTGGGCCTTTCAATTACACCAGGGCCCCCCAAAAAACAGCTCCAACACGCACAGCCACCCTCAGGGAATTTCTCTGTCGTTAAATGTAGATGAGTCACAGATGCCAGACAGAGAAGTGCCCGTCGAACGGGATTCTGTCAAACCTGCGTTAACGCTACTGTAAATCACCAGGGGAACTTAAATAAAACAGAAGTTGTAAATGAGCGATAACAAAAGTAATGCCAGGGACTTTTGGCAACAAGAGAGAAACCTGATGATCCCAGTGTGTGTGGACAACAAGAGAATTTGGAGGTTTTTTCATTGGGAATAGAGATATATATATACTGGAGGAAGAGGAAACTGCTCTGCCAAAATCAGTATTGTATCTGGTCGGTATTGAAAAGTCCATTTTTAATTTTACGTCATGTTTTCTCCCTTTTTTTCCTAACCGCGACAAATGCCAGTCTCCCTTCTCTGCAGAATGCGATATATCCGCTCAACCAATCAGTAAATCAAAAAATGTCAGGACACCGCCATAACTGTCTAGAGTGCGTGGAATGGGGCGCTGGCACTCTAGACAGTAATGGCGGTGTCCTGACATTTTATCCTACCCGTCAGATTGTCCCTACCAGGGTTTACTGCGCATGCGCACATCAATATTGCATCCTTTTTCTCACGCTGAATAACAATATTTAATGTATCTGCATCACAACCACCCTACAATGATAAAAATCCACCCACTCCTCATTTTTTAATCCCCTTTAAACCAAGTCAGTTTCACTAGGCCTGCCGTTTTGATTCTCACCGCAGTGTGACGTCACATTGTATAGGGCCAGGCCACGGGGGTTGATTGACAGCCCTGCATTGTTAGTTTCCACCCTCAGTGGTTGTACGCTGTCCTCCTCTGTGTTTGGATGCAAGACTGGACATAAGAGTCTTCATTTTCCCCCAACACCTGAGCTGCTGAGGATGCTGTGGATTACTTTCATTTTTCAAGGTAATGCGCCTCAAAATCTAATTGTATCTGGTCGGTATTGAAAAGTCCATTTTTAATTTTACGTCATGTTTTCTCCCTTTTTTTCCTAACCGCGACAAATGCCAGTCTCCCTTCTCTGCAGAATGCGATATATCCGCTCAACCAATCAGTAAATCAAAAAATGTCAGGACACCGCCATAACTGTCTAGAGTGCGTGGAATGGGGCGCTGGCACTCTAGACAGTAATGGCGGTGTCCTGACATTTTATCCTACCCGTCAGATTGTCCCTACCAGGGTTTACTGCGCATGCGCACATCAATATTGCGTTCCACCCTCAGTGGTTGTACGCTGTCCTCCTCTGTGTTTGGATGCAAGACTGGACATAAGAGTCTTCATTTTCCCCCAACACCTGAGCTGCTGAGGATGCTGTGGATTACTTTCATTTTTCAAGGTAATGCGCCTCAAAATCTACCTTAATACGTGTATCACTCCAGACTCCTTTGTGAATGCCATGTCGTTATAGTGCTTAGCGTTTTAAAATAACGCGAGATTCGTTCGGTCGCGTGGCTCGGTCCATTGATCCGCGCCGATGACAGGTCAGTCATCGCACTGTTTCGTCCCACTTTCAGCGCATTTGGCTTTGCATATGTACGACTAAACACCGGTTCTCTCACTCTCAGTTATGTTGCTTCTACTGGCTGTTTATTGCTGTAGATATGCAATGCTGAGAGACGTATACACAATAATGTATCTGCATTACTGTAAGGGTAGGTTTAGGGTTGGGGTAGGAGTAGACTTTAATAAAACACAATCTAATAGGTAGAAAAAATTATGTATTGTTGGTTTCCTGTAGCTGTATCCCTTCTAGCCACAAACTCACTCTCAGTTATGTTGCTTCTACTGGCTGTTTATTGCTGTAGATATGCAATGCTGAGAGACGTATACACAATGCCCTCTTCTGGAGACGGGGCGGGAACATGCAGCTCATTTGCATTTAAACCGATACACTCCAAAACATGGGGTAGGTGTAGACGTTAATAAACCATAATTTTACAGGTTGCATTTTTCGTTGTCGAATTGTACTACTCACTGTTTTAATGGGAGGTAGCAAAATCTGACAGGGTAGCACAAATCGACAGAACAGGGGCGCTTTGAATACACCCAGCATCCTAGTTTTCGTCATCTACTTTTGTACTTTGTGATCAACAAACAAACTTAGGGCTGCACGATAAATGGCTAAACACCAGTTCTCTCGCTCTCAGTCATGTTGCTTCTACCGGCTGTTTATTGTTGTAGATATGCAATGCAGAGAGACGTATAGGCGACGCCCTCTTCTGGAGAAGGGGCAGGAATATGCTGCTCATTTGCATTTAAACCGATACACTCCAAAACAGCTCTTTTTTTTAGACACACCCCAAAAATGACATTTTCCAGCCGTTATAATAAATGACCTGTTGGGTATTTTGGGCTGAAACTTCAGACACATTCTGGGGACACCCAAGACCAACATTACATCTTGTAAAGATGTAAAGAATCGGGACTTTGGGAAGTCGTGGCCTAATGGTTAGAGAGTCTGACTCGTAACCCAAAGGTTGCAGGTTTGAGTCTCATACCGACAGGGATTGAAGGTGGAATTGTCATGCGCATCTAGTCAGCAAAGCCGTTTCTGTGATTAATAGTAAATCTCCATCACGTGCTTTCAGATGGAGCTACATTTAATACACAGAGCCGTAGATCACTGACAAGCTACACAATATCACGTTCATAATCGCAGATGAGTCACATTCGATTATGAACGCGATATTGCGTAGCTTGTCAGTGTAAGTGCTTTTATTAATTCCATTAATGTTTTTGTTAGCACTAGTCAACTAAATGAATGTAACATGGCAAAGATGAATGCACTTTTGGAAGTTGAATGTA